TGAGGAAAAGGAGGAAGATCTTAAACTAGGAGTTGAAGAAATGTGACATTCCAGATTCTACTCCTCTTCCTCCTCCTCCTCCTCCTCCTCCCTGCAAGTCCCACTCCTTCTAGCACTGATGATGTTACCTAGTTGGGTAATGAAATGTCTGTAAGGAAACCACCCCAAAGTCATCGTCGTCCTCCTCCTCCTCTCTGCAAACCCCTCTCCCTTCTAGCACTGATGATGTTACCTAGTTGGGTAATGAAATGTTTGCAAGAAAACCACCAAGCTCAGAGAGCATCAAGGACCCCACAGTTCTCCTCCTCCTCCTCCTCCTCCTCCTCCTTTCTGCAAATCCCACTCCCTCCTAACACTGGTGATGCCACCTAGTTGGGTAATGAAACGTCTGCAAGAAAACCACCAACCTCAGAGAAGCACTAAGGATCCCTCAATCCTCCTCCTCCTCCACCCTACTTACTACTAACACTCTACTAATACTACTACTACTGTATTCTGACTGCTTGACTTACAACGGCCTGCTTCTTCCTTGGGAATCTTTCAAGATTCACCGCTCTTGAGTAGTGAAAAGTCCTTCTCATCACAGCGGTTACCTACAGGAGCTCTGGGACTATGGGGGTCAGACACCCCCAAGTCTCTCCTTCCTCAGCAGGCTGGTTCAGACAACACAGGGACTGCCTCACGCTTCCCTGCGCTCCGCGCAAGAGCTGTTGCATGCACACCCGGAGCACGAAATGCCATCTTGAGTTTCTCGGCGGAGGAGGCCCAAAGCCAGCAAGGGTTTCCTGTCCCCAGCCCTGCAGATGTCTGAATTGCAAAGTCTGCAGTGGCTGAGGGTTGTGGGAACGGAAATACAGCACCTCGTAGGCAACCTTGGCTCAGTTATGACTCGTGGACTTCAACTCCCAGAATTCCTGAGCCAGCCATGCTGAGGGGAAAGGGAGAGGTTTCCAAGCTGAGCCAGGCTGGCTGAGGAATTCTGGGAGTTGAAGTCCACAAGTCATGAAGGGGCCATAGTTCCCCCATGCTGGCTGAGGAATTCTGGGAGTTGAAGTCCATGAGTCATGAAGGGGCCATAGTTCCCCCACGCTGGCTCAGGAATTCTGGGAGTTGAAGTCCACGAGTCATGAGGGGGCCATAGTTCCCCCACGCTGGCTGAGGAATTCTGGGAGTTGAAGTCCCCGAGTCATGAAGGGGCCATAGTTCCCCCACGCTGGCTGAGGAATTCTGGGAGTTGAAGTCCCCGAGTCATGAAGGGGCCAAGGTTGAGGACCCCTGCGTCTAAAAGGAGGCAAAGGACCAGCTGTCTGCAAGGAGTATAAATCCTCCAATTTCCCCACCATCCAGTCAGAACTGAAGAAGCTTCTGGGAGGAGAAGCGAAAGGTCTTCAAAAAATAAGAATGTCCCCAAAAAAGCACCCTTGGAGCCCCAGGAGCTGTTCTTCTGTCTCTGGATGAAGAACATGGGGGACACGTCACACGTGTGTGGCAGTGGGAAAGAGGGACAAGCGACACCACGCGCATCCTTGCTCTCACTGCACAAGGGACCCCGATCGTGCACCTTGCCCCGGCCTCCTGCAAGCCAGGTTGATGCAATTTGCAGGAGACGCGACGGGCAACTCTGCAGATGGGGCACCTTCAAACAGGCCGAGTTCAGGAACCCTGCCGGAGGTGGAGCATGGATTCCCAGAGACCCCAGACCAGGCCCACTCCTCTCCTTTTGAGCCCAGCTTTGGGTTCCTGGCCTCTCCCTTCCTTAGACGCCTTTGGGCGAAAGGCCGATGAGATCTTGTTGACCCAAAGGGTTCTTGGTTCTGCTCTTCACCGGCAGTTTGACCAGCAACTCCTTCCAAAACCTTCCCGACGGGTATCGGGACTTCTCGCCTTTCCACTTAATGACGGTCAGCACCGCCCTGGCTTGTCGCAGCTCCTTCACCTTGCTCTTCTTGACGGGCTTGTACTGGACCAGGATCACCTTGATGGTGCCCTGGGAAGCCATGTTCTCCAGCCCGGCCTTAAACTCCAGCAAGGCCTGGGTGCCCCGCAGGACGTAGTTGGGGCTGAACACAACCAAGAGACGTCGGCTTCTCTGGATGAAGCTCAGAGTTTCATCCGTGACAACTGAGAGAGAAAACAGGCACGTTAGCGACCGGCGGGCGAGAACTTCCCCACGGCGGTGAGCCAGGAAGTTCAAGGGCTCAGCCGAGGAGGCCACGCGTCTCCTTTCTCAACCGTTACCTTCTGAAGCTCCTGGCCTTCAAGAAGGACAAGGTAGGTTTGGAGGAGTCAGGACCTGCCCTGAAGAAGACCTCCGTTCCTGTGGACACCAGCCACACTCCCCCACACACACCCTTCTCATATCTGGCACCTGCTCTGTCAACCGTGCAACGGTCTTGTTTTCACATTTACTTCCCAGCTTGGACCAAAGATGTCCAAGTGGGAAACAGCCCAGAAAAAGCCAAGATTGTTTTGTTGCGACAGTCACAGCCGTTATTGCTAATTAAGGAGAGGAACCACGGACTGTCAACGCTGCAAATGCTGTATATTCTTGCTTTGACAATATGCAGAACTGTCTGGTATTTTTAGAGTTAAATCAGGCAACAGGGAAAGGGGAGGAGAATAAGGAAAGCCCGGGAAAAAGAAACAGGAAGTGAATCACATCTTCCAAGTTAATTGGAAGATGGGAACCGTGACCCCAAAATAGGGGAGGGAAAAATTATTATTATTATTATTTAAATTTATATACCGCCCTATCTCCCTTACGGGACTCAGGGTGGTGAGTCCTGGAATGTAGGTGCAACGGAAAAGAATCTCAGATCTCAGCATTTCCACCATGCCGTACTGACGTCTCTGTAACCTTAATAAATGCTTTTAGGATAAAAAAATATGCCTGAAAGTCCTTTTAAGTGTTTCGTTAATCAGACACGTGACACGTACGACTCGGGAGAAATGTCCTGGTAGGGAGAACAATTCACCAGTGGGATGGAAGTTGTGGGTGCTCCCTCAGTGGTCTTCAGCTGGGCATCTTCACTGTAGGTGGGCATGGCCCAGGACGACCTTGACTCTGCCTGCCCAGATGGACCAGAGCCTGCCCCAAAGTTTCAACCCTCTTCAAGAGAGGTTGAGAGAATAGACCAACATCACAGACCTACTGACTTCCCAGTTTAGGTTCTCCCTTCCGTAACCAGCTTCCTTCAGACCCACCACCGGATCCATGGGGCAAAAAAGATTCCCATCTCCTTTTCTCAAGCTAGTCTCCTCTCCATGGTGACTTTTTTGCCCCCTACAATTGTCTCTCAATAATTCCTTCCAGAGGAAAGAATTATGAACTCAAAATGGTGGCACTTTTGCTCAGGTTAAAAAGATTGCTTCAATTATGCAGTTGGCGTCCTGATTTTTTTTTGGGGGGGGGCCTCCCTGCGATATAGACCCGCTTAAAGGGGATCAAAGCTGCATAACATGCTAAAAAATATAAGGAATATCAACGGAAATGTAAAATATTGGCAGGAGAACCGGGCTACTGGGGTTCTCCGCTGTCCCCAACATGACCTCCTGTCCAGATGTGATGGGTGCTAACCTTGGTATGTCCAGTCTAACTGCTGGTTGGTCTCTGCTGCTGGGAACCATGGGAGTCGGCGTCCCAATGGACCTCAGCTTGGGGGAGCTTTTCAAGAATCCCCAAGTTGCTCTTAATCTACACTGTCTTTAGATCTCTCCAGAGCTTAAAGATTGGCAGTTCTGACTTTTAGTGCAGTGGTAGTCAACCTTGGCTCTTTTATGACTCGTGGACGTCAACTCCCAGAATTCCTGAGCCAGCGGTGCTGGCTCAGGAATTCTGGGAGTTGAAGTCCACGAGTCATAAAAGAGCCAAGGTTGACTACCCCTGCTTTAGTGCATCCCTGGAACCCCTCTGAGTCAAGAAGCTGTAGGGAGCAACACCCCAACTCAGAAAAACTGTACATCTGGAACCAAATGGGTTTCCTCACAGGTCACCTTGCAGTGTAAGCTGGGGAAAAAAAAAATAAGCTGGACAATTAAAGCGAGATCACTCCCCAACGAAATTGCTAGACTTTAAGTCGGTGTTTCTCAACCTCAAGCTGGGAGAACTTCAATACCCATCATTCCCCAGCCAGCCGGTGTGAACTTCATCGCCCAGAATCCCCAAGCCAATACGTGTGGACTTCAACTCCCAGAATTCTATGGCACCAACGCATTCCTTTTTGACGTGTGTCCCCATTGTGGCCCTGCTTACTCTCTTGTCATCCCTTCCTCTGCAATCTCTCTGCTCTAGGCAGCAGGAGGAAAAATAAATAAATACAGGCATGGCTGACTGGGGATATTCAGAGAGTTGAAGTCCTCCCACCTTAACGTTCCTGAGGTTGGATAACAAAAACGGGCAACTCTGGGCATTTGGTGTTGACCAGGAATAATTTAGGAGCCCCCAAAAAGAATCGACAGCGAGGCAGGATAAAACATCAACTAAGATTCCCGTCTTCCCCTTGGTCAATTTTCTTTTTCTTTTTTCTTCAAAACTGCTACGCCCTTTTTTAGGGTTTAGATCTCGGTCTCCTGGGTTCCTGATTCCCCCCCAAAAAAGGAGAGCCAGAGTTTGCGCAGGGCCCTGAATCCCCCCCCCAATCCTTTTTTTTCCCCTTTTGGCCTAAGCTTTCTTTGCAAAAACTCCTTGTGTCCTCAGAAGGTTTTTTTCTTTTGGGGGGGAAAGGAAGCCCAGGGGATCAAAAGCCCTTCTGTTGGAAAAAGGGCAACATCTGCCAACTCAAAAACCGTTCGTTCCGATCGAATTCCCTTGCACAGCCAACAAGTCTCTCTCTCTCTGGAGGGACTTGCTCTGGGATTCTTCTCTGGCCCCATCAGCCACAGCTGTGCATGCACATGGGGGGCGCAGGAGGGAGTGAGGAAGAGGGAGGCCACCCAGCCTCCCCCCCCCCCGCCTCCAGAGAGAGAGAGAGAGGGAGGATGGAGGGGTTTGGGATACTCACTTCCCCCGGGGAGACTGTCTCGGTCGAAAATGCAGAGCTTGTAGCCGTACTCGTTCTCCAAAACCCCCCGAAGGGTCAGCAGCACGAAGTCCTCTTCCTCCCTGTTCCTGGCGTAGGAGACGTAGACGTCATACTCCTTCCCGTCTGGTGGAGAGAGGGAGGGAAGGAGAGAGAGAGAGAGAGAGAAGAGAACAGAGAGAAAGAAGAGGGGAGACAGAAGAAAGAAAGGCAGAAAAGAAAAGAGAGAGAGGAGAGATCAGAGAGAAAGAAGAGAGAGGAGAGAGATGAGACAGAAGAGAAAGAGAAGAGAAAAAGAGAGAGGGAGAGGAAGGGAGAGAGAGAGGAGAAAGAAGAGAGAGAGAAGAGAGAGAAAAGTGAGATGAGACAGGAGAGAGAGAAGAGAGAAGAGAGAGAGAGGAGAGAACAAAGAAGAGAGGAGACAGAAGAGAGGCAGAAAAGAAAAGAGAGAGGAGAGAAGAGAGAGAAAAGAGAGAGAGAAGAGACAAAGAGAAAACAGATGAGAGAAGAGAGAGAGAAGAGAAAAAGAGAGAGGGAGAGAGGGAGAGAGAGAGGAGAAAGGAGAGAGAGGAGAGAAAAGTGAGATGAAACAGAAGAGAGAGAGAAACAGAGAGAGAGAGGAGAGAACAGAGAAAGAAGAGAGGAGAAAGAAGAGAGAGAGAAGAGAAAAAGAGAGAGGGAGAGAGGGAGGGAAAGAGAGAGGAGAAAGGAGAGAGAGAGAAGAAAGAGAGAGAAAAGTGAGATGAGACACAAGAGAGAGAGAATAGAAAAGAGAGAGAGGGGGGAAAGAACAGAGATAAAGAAGAGAGGAGACAGAAGAGAAGCAGAAAAGAAAAGAGAGGAGAGAGGAGAGAAGAGAGAGAGAGAAGAGGGAGAGAGAAGAGACAAAGAGAAGAGATGAGACAGAAGAGAAGAGAAGAGAAGAGAAGAGAAGAGAAGAGAAGAGAAGAGAAGAGAAGAGACGAGAAGAGAAGAGAGAGAGAGAAGCAGAAAGAGTTAGGGGCAATCACTGTCTCTGGTCCCTTCGGACTTTGCTTGTCCACTCATTAAATCTGCATTCCTGAGTTGCAGAATGACAGAGCTGGAAGGGACCTTGGAGGTCATCTAGTCCAACCCCCTGCTCAGGCAGGAGGCCCTATTCCCATTCCAGACAAATGGCTGTCCAGTCTCTTCTTGAAAACCTCCAGTGTTGGAGCACCCACAACTTCTGGAGGCAGATTGCTCCACTGGTTAATGGTTCTGAATGACCGACTGCTGCAAAAAAGGCCATAAAATCAGGTAGGTCAGGTGAGGGACCAGCTTTACGACCATCATGACCTATGGCCATAATGGGCAGGGTCTGTTACGGTCGTAAGTGAAGGACCCATCAAGGAGAGAAGCAACCTGGAACTAAGGAGAAACTTCCTGACAGGGAGAACGATTAACCAGTGGAACTCCTCGCCTCCAGAAGTTGTGGGTGCTTCAACTGGGCTTCTCCATTGCAGGTGGGCATGGATCAGGAGGACCTCTGCTTTTAAGGCTTTTAAGGAGAAACTGGACAGTCATTTGTCAGGAATGGTATAGGACGGTTCTCCTCTTGAGCAAGGGGTTGGTCTAGGAGACCTCCAGGGTCCCTTCCAGCTCTGCTATTCTGTTATACTAAACATATATTGGCAATAAAACAGGAGACTTCTCTGGCTGAAGTTCCTAGTCCAGGGGAAAGGCAACCTCTACACGCGGCCTTGAAGGGGAAGCTAAGAAGGTCTAGCGTCAAAGCAGACAGAGATTTGTGATCATCCTTGGAAGCAGCCAGGCCCAATTAACGTGGCAATTAAAATGCAATCAACATACAGTAGCTGGACAGAAGACAGCAGTGGCAGCAGCCCTCCCCACTCCACGGATTCATAACTCAGTCAGCATTATTGCAAGACGGGCTTGCAAGGTTAGACCCTTAAACCAGGATCCTGTTGTTGTTGTTGTTAGTTGCGAAGTCGTGTCCGACACATCGCGACCCCATGGACAAGGTTCCTCCAGGCCTTCCTGTCCTCTCCCATCTTCTGGGGTCCATTGAAGCTCAGGCCTCCTGCTTCAGGGACTCCATCCAGCCACCTCATTCTCTGTCGTCCCCTTCTTCTCTTGCCCTCCATCTTTCCCAGCATCAGGCTCTTCTCCAGGGAGTCCTTCCTTCTCCTTAGGTGGCCAAAGGACTTGAGTTTCAACCTCAGGATCTGGCCTTCTAAAGAGCAGTCGGGGTTGATCTCCTCCAGGACCGACCGGTTGGATCGCCTTGCAGTCCAGGGGACTCGCAGGAGTCTTCTCCAGCACCAGAGTCCAAAGGCCTCCATTCTTTGGTGCTCAGCCTTTCTTATGGTCCAACTTTCACAGCCATACGTTGCAACTGGGAAGACCATGGCCTTGACTCTACGCACTGTTGTTGGCAGGGTGATGTCTCTGCTTTTTCGTATGCTGTCTAGATTTGCCATAGCTTTCCTCCCCAGGAGCAAGCATCTTTTAATTTCTTGGCTGCAGTCCCCATCTGCGGTGATCTTGGAGCCCAGGAAGATAAAATCAGTCACTACCTCCATTTCTTCCCCATCTCTTTGCCAGGAGTTGAGAGGGCCGGATGCCACGATCTTGGTTTTCTTAAGGTTGAGTTTCAAGCCGACTTTTGCACTCTCCTTCTTCACCCGCATCCCCCAGACTGGAGGGGGGGGGAAGGTCTCACATTAAAGCCTGTGCAGGTCATTCAAGGCAGAGGTTAACCCAGGGGTAGTCAACCTTGGCTCTTTTATGACTCGTGGACTTCAACTCCCAGAATTCCTGAGCCAGCATGGGGGAACTAGGGCCCCTTCATGACTCGTGGACTTCAACTCCCAGAATTCCTCAGCCAGCATGGCTCAGCTTGGAAACCTCTCCCTTTCCCCTCAGCATAGCTGGCTCAGGAATTCTGGGAGTTGAAGTCCACGAGTCATAAAAGAGCCAAGGTTGACTACCCCTGGGTTAAACCGACCATCTCCAGGTCAGAGGAGGACCAGCTGGACAGGCCAAATCCAGGTCTCCTGTCCCACCAGAGGCCAGCTAGGGGTCTCCATGAAGACCCCTGTCCTGTGTCTCTGGCAATCAGTCCTTTGCACACCATGGGCACCAAAGAGCTGTCCTTGGATGCCAAGACCCCTGCCTTTCTGCCCATCCCCAGGAAACGAGTTCAAGTCCCACCTTAGCCATAAAAGCCAGCTGGGCCAATCACCAGGAGACGGAGAGTTCTAGTCCCGCCTTCGGCATGAAAGCCAGCTGGGTGACTTTGGGCCAATCGCCAGGAGACGGTGAGTTCTAGTCCCGCCTTCGGCATGAAAGCCGGCTGGGTGACTTTGGGCCAATCGCCAGGAGACGGTGAGTTCTAGTCCCGCCTTCGGCATGAAAGCCGGCTGGGTGACTTTGGGCCAATCGCCAGGAGACGGTGAGTTCTAGTCCCGCCTTCGGCATGAAAGCCGGCTGGGTGACCTTGGGCCAATCACCAGGAGACGGTGAGTTCTAGTCCCGCCTTAGGCATGAAAGCCGGCTGGGTGACCTTGGGCCAATCACTGGGAGACGGTGAGTTCTAGTCCCGCCTTAGGCATGAAAGCCGGCTGGGTGACTTTGGGCNCCAACATGACCTCCTGTCCAGATGTGATGGGTGCTAACCTTGGTATGTCCAGTCTAACTGCTGGTTGGTCTCTGCTGCTGGGAACCATGGGAGTCGGCGTCCCAATGGACCTCAGCTTGGGGGAGCTTTTCAAGAATCCCCAAGTTGCTCTTAATCTACACTGTCTTTAGATCTCTCCAGAGCTTAAAGATTGGCAGTTGTGACTTTAGTGCAGGGGTAGTCAACCTTGGCTCTTTTATGACTCATGGACCTCAACTCCCAGAATTCCTGAGCCAGCGGTGCTGGCTCAGGAATTCTGGGAGTTGAAGTCCACGAGTCATAAAAGAGCCAAGGTTGACTACCCCTGCTTTAGTGCATCCCTGGAACCCCTCTGAGTCAAGAAGCTGTAGGGGGCAACACCCCAACTCAGAAAAACTGTACATCTGGAACCAAATGGGTTTCCTCACAGGTCACCTTGCAGTGTAAGCTGGGAAAAAAAAATAAGCTGGACAATTAAAGCGAGATCACTCCCCAACGAAATTGCTAGACTTTAAGTCGGTGTTTCTCAACCTCAAGCTAGGAGAACTTCAATACCCATCATTCCCCAGCCAGCAGGTGTGAACTTCATCGCCCAGAATCCCCAAGCCAATAGGTGTGGACTTCAACTCCCAGAATTCTATGGCACCAACGCATTCCTTTTTGTGGCCCTGCTTACTCTCTTGTCATCCCTTCCTCTGCAATCTCTCTGCTCTAGGCAGTAGGAGGAAAAATAAATAAATACAGGCATGGCTGACTGGGGATATTCAGGGAGTTGAAGTCCTCCCATCTTAACGTTCTTGAGGTTGGATAACAAAAACGGGCAACTCTGGGCATTTGGGGTTGACCAGGAATAATTTAGGAGCCCCCAAAAGAATCGACAGCGAGGCAGGATAAAACATCAACTAAGATTCCCATCTTCCCCTTGGTCAATTTTCTTTTTCTTTTTTTTTCAAAACTGCTACGCCCTTTTTTAGGGTTTAGATCTCGGTCTCCTGGGTTCCTGATTCCCCCAAAAAAGGAGAGCCAGTTTGCGCAGGGCCCTGAATCCCCCCAATCCTTTTTTTCCCCCTTTTGGCCTAAGCTTTCTTTGCAAAAACTCCTTGTGTACTCAGGAGGTTTTTTTCTTTTGGGGGGGAAAGGAAGCCCAGGGGATCAAAAGCCCTTCTGTTGGAAAAAGGGCAACATCTGCCAACCCAAAAACCGTTCGTTCCGATCGAATTCCCTTGCACAGCCCACAACTCTCTCTCTCTGGAGGGACTTGCTCTGGGATTCTTCTCTGGCCCCATCAGCCACAGCTGTGCATGCACATGGGGGGCACAGGAGGGAGTGAGGAAGAGGGAGGCCGCCCAGCCTCCCCCGCCTCCAGAGAGAAAGAGAGAGAGAGAGAGGATGGAGGGGTTTGGGATACTCACTTCCCCCGGGGAGACTGTCTCGGTCGAAAATGCAGAGCTTGTAGCCGTACTCGTTCTCCAAAACCCCCCGAAGGGTCAGCAGCACGAAGTCCTCTTCCTCCCTGTTCCTGGCGTAGGAGACGTAGACGTCGTACTCCTTCCCGTCTGGTGGAGGGAGGGAGGGAGGGAGGGAGAGGAGAAAGAAGAGAGAGAGAGAGAGAGAAGAGAACAGAGAGAAAGAAGAGGGGAGACAGAAGAAAGGCAGAAAAGAAAAGAGAGAGAGGAGAGAACAGAGAGAAAGAAGAGAGAGGAGAAAGAAGAGAGAGATGAGACAAAGAGAAGAGAGATGAGACAGAAGAGAGAGAGAAGAGAAAAACAGAGAGGGAGAGGAAGGGAGAAAGAGAGGAGAAAGAAGAGAGAGATGAGACAAAGAGAAGAGAGATGAGACAGAAGAGAGAGAGAAGAGAAAAAGAGAGAGGGAGAGGAAGGGAGAAAGAGAGGAGAAAGAAGAGAGAGAAGAGATAAAGAGAAAAGAGATGAGACAGAAGAGAGAGAGAAGAGAAAAA